TTGAGGCAATATACTCAGTGGCTGAGAAAATCAGGGTTCAGCCTCTGTGACTGCTTTGCTGGATTAATATATTCTGCTGTGTCTACAGTCAGCAAAGTTTGAAATACAATTCTGAGTAGATGGCAGCACTCTGCACTGCTGAGAATTGTTGATAAAATGAAACTGCAATGCACACAGCCAACCCAGGATCACCGACAGGGCATCGTCTCTACCTGCTTTGTTTTATGAAGTCTGAAGCACAATGCCACACACACCATTTCCTTTAAGCTAAGCTTGCACATATCTGAGCCCTTGTTTTAAAGCACACAGATATAAGCTGGCACTGGATTTAGGAATGTTTCGTTTCATGTGAATTTCCCTCAGGCAAAATCACCCTTGTTTTTGGATGCAGTTCTGGACTTCTTTGAGTGGTTAAAGGAGGGTACCATATAAGTGAATAACATCTTCACATACTTGATTTTTTTATTTCAATAGTATTTGTCATATATGAACTATTGAAATAAATAAAAGAAAACCAACAGTCAAACTCAAATTCAGATTAACTTCAATCACTTTTTTCTCTTTAAAAGAATGTCTTTCGTTCATCCTCTGTTGCTTGCTACCACAATCACCAAAAATAATACAATCACCAAAAACACTAGGTTAAAACATACAAATACATTCTATCTTTCTCTCTCTTTCTCTCAGAAATGGAGAAGATTATTTGAACAAACATGTCATATGGCAAGGGCAGAACACCTATGAGACCCAGCCAAACTGGTTCTTACAGCAATACCTCTGACAAGAAACTCATTTAAGACATTAATCACATACATGATTGATCCAAAAGCCCCAATAACCTCTTCTAGTACTCTGCTCTTACCTCTTAATATCTCATAACTGGAATTAATTTCAACATAAATTTTGAAAAAGACAAAATCTAGTATAAAGCAAAGAAAGTAGTTTCCAGCTTGGTTCCCAGTCTCAGTGACCAATGTTTGTATTCCCAAAGTCAGGCTCTATTGCTTCTATGAGCTATACCTACAAGCTATTGCTATCTTTTTAAAACTGAAAATGAGTCTTCATTTTACAATATGTACTAAACTTCCTTAGTTGGAATTTATATGTACAATATCGCATTGTGTAGACTGATGGACACTTGGCTTATTTCAAGATACTGATGTGGCGCATAAGCTTCCTTTTTAGTGGGTGGTGGCTTGATGCAGAGACTCATAACCAATCGAAGTGATGAGTATAAGTAAATGTGAATTCTCAGCTGTGAGAGGGTGTCTAGATCAACCTCTCCCTATCTGAAGCTCAGGAAATATAGCAGAAGAGGGTGTGGAAAGAATGTAAGGGCCAGCCAATGGGGCACTGGTCTACTTTCCTTCTGTTTTTGTGATAAAAACATTCTGACCCAAAGCAACTCGGGGAGAGTAGAGTTTATTCCAGCTTACACTTCTAGGTAATCAATCATTGTGAGTAGGCAGAGTAGGAATCTAGGCAGGAACTCACAGCAGAATCAATAGAGTAATGCTGCTCTGTAGTTTGCTTGGTTATCTTTCTCATACAACCCAGGTTTATCTGCCTAGGGCTGGACCCTCCTCCATCAATTAGCAATCAAGACAATGTCACACATGCATGTTCACAGGCCACTCTGATGGAGTCAGTACTTCATTTGAGGCTCCCTCTTCCCAGATGATGATAGACTGTGTCAAGTTGTCAATAAAAACTAAATAGGATAAGAGGAGAGCTGGGAAATGCTAACTTCTGAACAACATGGAGGTTGTACACATCAACTCACAGCAGCTACGGCTACCTACACAAGACCAGAACAAGATCAAGCCAATCAAAAATCCAACATAGGTGGAAACAGAGCCCTTGAGGCATTACCTCAAGAGGGTGAGCTATTGATAGTTAGTGGCTGCTTAGTGAGGGATAGTCACTCTTCTTTGGATATGTGGCTGATGGTAGGTTGTCCATGCTCCATACACAATCACATATGGGTATAGCTAATTGGACTCAGGGTATTTTTAGCAACAATAAAAAGGGGGCATGAGTTAGGAGGCTGAAAGGGTTGAGAGCACTAGATGGAGTTGGAGGGAGGTAGTGGTTATGATCAAATTACATTGTACAAATACATGAGATTGTCAAAGAATAAATAAGAACATTAATTTTAAAAGAAAAGAAGGGGAGTAGAAGATTGTGAAGACCTTCCAATGGCTATTGAAATATGGATATTGAGAAGAGAACTCTCAAATAGGCAGGCCCTCTTCCTCAAAAAGGTGGGTGAGGAAGAGCAAGATGGTTTAGTGAGATACCCTATCTCGGAAAATGAGGTAGAGAGCAATTGAAGAAAACATTCAACATTGACCTCTTGCTTCCACTTAAGCACACATATGTACAACCACATGGACACAAACATATAAAACTGCCTGCCTGCCTGCCTGCTCGTCTATCTATCTATGTGTCTGTCTGTCTATCTATCTGTCTCTGTTTCTATATCTCTACTGTGTGGAGGACTTTGATATATATCTTGTCCATCTTTTCCTTTCTTGGAAAATGAACAAAGGAAAAGGAAGCAGGCCTGGTCTCTTTCAGCAAGTCATCTCACCACCCATCACCCACTGAGGAAAAAGCAGTGACTTGAGTTCAAATATCTCTAGACCTCTAGCTGTTTTCTCTGTTGGATGTCCCAGTAGATTGTCACTTGTCAGATGAGGGTATGGAAGGTGAGCTCCAGACAGCTGCAAACATTGTCCCTTGTGGGGAATTCTTTGGCTTGGAACATTGTGGGCCTCCTAGCTCAAAGCTGGAATCCAGTAGCGCCCAAAACACCTATGGATGGATAGGAAGTTTGGTAACTAGCAAAAGACAGAACCATCAGCACAATGCTTATTATAGGGGTTAGAACTGGAGACTGATGCATAGTACACAGACCAAGGACCAAGGAGTTGGAGCTGTCCATGGTCCTGGCCAGCATTGCCCGATGGATATTTAAGACCCCGGTCAGTCCCATCTTCTGCAACCACTGGATGGAGTCTGGAGCTGCAGCACTCAGTACTTTGCATATTTTGTAATCAGATTTTTTCTTGTCTTTTTGTTGTGTTCATTATATATTTTTGGCTAGAATATATACATATATATGTATATGTTTTGAAAATATTTTTATTCCAGGTTGCCATTCCACTCTGTTGTCTTGTTACATTTAAAGCCTTAATCCATTTTGAGTTGCTTTTCATAAATGATATTAGATAAAATCCCAACTGTATTATTCTATATATGTATATTTAGCTTCTCCAATACTATTTTCAAAAGTTTCTCTCCCGCCCCCAGAATATCTGTGCCACATTTGTCAAAAATCAGCTGACCATAAATATGGATTTATTTCTGGGATCTCTATTCTGTCAAATTTGTCTATATGTCTTTTTAACATGATAATACCATGGTATTTTTGATTATTAAGATTTATAGGGTGTTATGAGATCAAGTAGTATAATGCCTCAAGCTTTATTCATTTTGCTCACAATTTCCTTAGCTAATAAGGATCTCTGAATTTAGGATTTACTTTTCCAATTCTGATAAAAGATCAGTTGGGCTTTGACAGGGATTTCATTATATCCATTAAATTCTTTATATTGGATAAACATTTAAATTAGTTTTTGTTGTTTTCATACAACACATTCACCCCCACTTTCCTCTCCATGGCTTCTTCCTGATCCAGCTCCACCTCCTTGTGCCCTCCCAACTTCATGTTCTCTTTATTTTTTCAATTCCCCACCAAGTCCATTTGTGGTACCCATGTAGTCTTGGCTATAAAGGGGAAAACATCCTTAGGTGGACTTATTAACAATATTAGTTCTTCTAATCCATGAACATATGATATCTCTCCATTTGTGTGTTTGTCTTCTTCCATTATAGCTTTGTGGGTAAAGTTTTTGCATTGTAAGCATGAGGATCTTGGTTCTGATCTCTAGCACTCAAGCAAAAGGCCAGGTGCAACTGCACCCACTTATAGTCTCAGCTTGGAGGAATGGAAACCAGAGGACCATGGGCTCCTTGGCTAGCCATGGAAAAGAAACAGTGGGCTCAATATTCAATAATAGGCACTGCCTCAAAAAATAAGGGGGGAATATTAGAGGGAGATACACAACATTGATATCTGACCTTCAGATGTGCAACCACAGGCACACACATTTGCACATGGATATATTGCACACATAAACATACACACATGCATGCATGCATACATGATACATGCACACAGTGCCCCAAGTAAATAAATAAATAAATAAATAAATAAATGTAAATGAAAGAATAACCTGAGGTGCTCCTGAGCATCTTGTCCAGTAATTCTAAATGGGAAGAGATAAGAGGGTACTCCATGTTTATTGTTGATGCTGCAACCAGTCTGAGAAGTACACTTGAAGAAGCACCATGTAAATCCCTTGAAACTTAACTGCTTTAAAAATCAATTGTGAACTGTGTAAGAATCTTAAATCACATCTCTAAAGACAATGACATCCCCAGTGCATCTCAAATGCTACATATATTCATGCAAAAATCATAACCAACAAACACCAAAGTCTGTTGACTCCCCACAACTGACTTCAGTTGTCACCATGATCCAGGCAGTGGGCTTGGCCCCCAGGCCTTTAATTTGTGTCACAAAATTTTCTGGCTAATGAATTTCTAAAGCAGTGAGAGAAATATTTTATCCAAAGAAGCATTTGAAACTTTAAAATATTGCGACATTGATGTTTTTCTCCAGCTTAAATAAAATCATCACTTTTCTAGTGGATTTACTATTTTAAAATGTATATAGCATTTAATAAATATCTCCTGTCTTTTGCTAACATCTGCTGGATCACACATGCCTTCGAAAATATTTCCCAAATTTACTTGAAAAATAACAATGAAAATGATGTCGCAAGTTGTGGAATCAGGATCAGGTAGACATACTATAGAGAAATAAAGCACACAGAATGTTTTGTACAATGATCTAAAACTTTATTGCTTGTTACTATCTCGATAGAGTCTCAAATCAGAGGAGATTTACATAGGCAGTACAATGAAGCAGTTCTCAGAGTCATAGTGGATGACTGTAGAAGGTAAGCTTCATAGTTTGAGATTTGAACTGAACTGAATAATTCATTCATGAGTACAGTCCTATGTTTCACACTTAGCCATATAATATATTCCTTTAGGGCTTACCTGGGAGGCAAAAACAAATAAATGAATCCTGAATGATAAGGGTCACAAATTTAATGAATATTGATGAGAGGTGAGAAATTACATTTTAATCTAAATTGAAGGTATGAGATGTCTAAATCAAAGATGACTCTGTAAGAGCTACCCCGAGAGGGTTTAATATACTTTCATTTAAGAGAATTTTGATTTATTTGGTGATGCTTCACTGTGTTAGCACAAGTAATGAAAGGTGATATATCAAATTAAAGATTTTTCTCTTCAGATGAAATGAAGCAGTTACTATCTTTCTATTAACAGATTTTTGGTTGGCTGCTCAAGTTCTACACATGATGTCATTTTCTGTTCATGACTTTATTTTATGCAGGGCACTGCAAAGGATTCCAACCTCACCTACAAAGAAGAAGAGCACAAAAGTGAGTCTCTTGTTAATAAATGTGAAGCTCAATAGGGTTGCTGGGATGCATTACCCTAAACTTCAGAACGCTTACAGCTTATTTACAGAGCCAACACTAGCCCAGATCTAGTGTGTGCAGTGAGTGCTAAGGTTGTCTATATAATTTGCTTCCCTTTTCACAAGCTGTTTCCTGGAGCTAAAGGAGTTTTTCTAAGCAACAGGTTTTCCAAGCAGATGCCTAGGTCTGTGTGCTCTTTTGACATACCTATCCACAACAGCTTCAAGACTCTAAGCAGTTAAACCTAAAGAGTGGGATGCATTTAAGTATCCTACATTGGAATCACCTGAGGTCCCAAGCTTCTGCACAAATTTAGGAAGTTTAGTTTGGAAGTATATAACTCAGGACTGTAATTTTTCCAGCACTTCAAAATAGAGATGGACCCCAAAGGCTCAAATATTTGAATGAAAGGTCATTAGGGAATGGCTCTACTTAAGAAGGATTGGGAGGTGTAGCCTTGTTGGAGTGGGCATGGCCTTATTGGAGGAAGTGTGTCACTGAGTGTGGACTTTGAGGTTTCAGAAGCCCAAACTAGGCCAATTGGCTCATTCTCTTTTCCTGCTGTCTGTGGATCTGGGTACAGAACTCTCAGCTACCTCTCCAGCACCATGTCTGCCTGCCTGCCTCCATTCCTGCCATAATGATAATGGAAATGAAAAACTAATTGAAAATTAGATGCATAATGAACCCAAGGTGGTTTGGCAGTCCTTGACTATGTCGTGTGATGCCACTTGACTGCAGTTTTGGTTCTGGACACACAGATGCACATTTTTGTACTGTGCCAACCATCGTGCCACACAGCATCCATACATTCTGTCTGCAACAGCTGGTTTATACATGAGACCATTATATATTATGAATTTCAGTGTTTCAGTGATGTTTACAAAGTTTTTTCTGCTCTTATAGAAACACAATTTAATTATAGAAAACAATTTCTAGTGACTCCCTGTAGTCATTCCTCACTCATTCTTTCGAAAGCTCTAATATGTCCTTACAAATAAGGTTGGGTTCTAGGGACTTAACAGAGAGCTTGATATTTAACTCTGCTCAGGTCTAACTGGGGACACAGAAAGTAAACAATTCTAAAATGGTGTAACCCTCTGAGAGGCAGATCTGCAGGAGCATAAAGCCATACAAAGGGCATACAAGCCAGTCACAGAAGAGCATAAAAGAACATAAAGTCATACAAAGGGCATACAAGCCAGTCATACAAGAAGAAATGCCTATGCAAGACATGTGAGATGAACTGGCTTTAGACATCTCACATAGGCATAGCAGAAGAATATCTTAAGCAGAAAGAATGCCATGGGCAAAAGCTAGGAGAGGGCACAAGGACCAGAAGCTGATCTGTGGAGCTAGAGGGTAATTTCAGTGGCTATAGAGAATCATGTGAGCAGGGTAATCAGCAATATTTCTCCAGTAACTGTTATTATTATATCCACCACCAAGGAGGAGCAGAAGCCAGCAGCAGTAGATGAGTTAGATTATGGGGGGCCAATAAAGCAGTCAGACTTTAGTCCCCAACACATGAGATTCCAGGCTGGGTGGTATCAGCTGACATTTAGAAGAAAAGAGGCAGGAAGGCAAATGATGAGGAAGAACCTGAGAGCAACAGGCTAGGTGTAGTGGTGAGAGATGGGATTGGATGCCAGAAGGTCAAAGGATAAGGGGCAGGTAAATCAAGTTGCATAGTTCTTTTCCTCAAGTGAACTTATGAACCTATGGTGTATATGGAGATGTTTCATTTGTCCCTGTAGGAAAGGTCAGAAGACACGGCCTCTATTCTGGGAAAGAAGGTAGTTCCATCAGCTGTGAGCTACTTACTGTTGATGGAGTCAGCCAAAATCTTCAACTGCTGAGTGTTGTCCAGGACCTCAACCCTTTGAGTGTAGGGATCATAGCGAACCGAGAAGGGCCGGGGGATTGTGGCAGCAAAGGCCCTGAAATGAACACCAACGGCCTAAGTGAAGGGCACCATTTAGAGAAAGGTTATGCTGAAGGAGTTCTGAAAGCAGTTACTTTGCTGTGAGCCCTGAAATTTCCTAGAACAGTGGCTCAGAAGCTGGGGCTGAGGTGTGAAATACAATTGAACAAGGTCATCTGAGGAAGCCTTTGTGTGCATGTGTGTGTAAAAGCACAAAGTACACGTATTAAATAAGATAAAAGAGTTAATGAAACCACAGAATATGATTAAAAGAAATATCCAAGGTACTTGACAATCGACACAAATGGAAACACAGCTCTGGGCAATGAAACATTGTAGTGACATGGAGCAGGTGTCACATTAAACTTTAACTGCTCTAGTACCCTTAAAAATCACTAAGTAACACTTTAGTAAAGCCCTAAGAATTAAGAACTGTAATTACCCCTGTTTTACAAATGAGGGTGTTTAGCCATGGGAAACTGAGTACATGGACCATAATGTCAGTTGCAATGCTGTGAAGGAACCTGGGCAGCCTGATTCTGATCTAGATGCTTTCTTGCCATCCCTAAGCATGACTCTAATTCTGTAGGAATTTCCCAGGAGGGATTTCGTGAGCAACAGCAGTCAATATAATTAACAAGACACTTCAAATACACCTTAGATATTGTTTCTAGATTAGTCTATGATGAAAGTAAAAGCTATTGTATTGAAAATTACAGTTATCACAGGCATTAAGTCACCCCAGGTTTTTGCAAGAGCAGCATCCTGAGTCCCCAAGTCAAGCTCTCTGGGTTCCTTTCTTGTCAGTTACAGCCCTTGTGATAGGAGGCAACAGCTCTTCTCTGTTCCTCACATTCCTTATTCTTTTGTAAGATCAGGGTACCAACAGTCCCCAGCTCAGAGGGGAATGACAATTGCTGTCACACTACTGGTGAGTTCATCACCTCCCATCTTCCCTCTCTGAAAAGGAGCTTTTAGCCCAGATGACACCATGTCTAATGTGATGCACGTCTGATTTCAACTACTCTATGTCTCTTCCCCTGTCTTCTTACAGAACACCCCATTTGACTTTGGAGAATGCCCACACCCACCTCACTGGATGTATCTCAGTCTTGGGCCTTCTTCTAGAATCTCACCTCACTTTCTCCTTGGCATCATTGAAACTCTCTGCCACGTAGTACAGGGGCTGGAACTCTGTGACATTGTACTCCTGTGAGGCTGTCTTCTCTAGGTCCAGGGGCAGGAGCTTCGGCTTGTCTGATAAACAGTACTTCAGGGACCCAGAGAAAAGTTTTCAGTTGAGTCATGGCCTGTGCTCTCACCCACATCCCGTAGTCCATCAGCAAAACGTCTCTCATAACCACCGTTTTCTTAGCCCATTGCAAATTTGGTAAACTGAGTTATTAACCATGTATTAGATTCAACTCCCCATACCTCATCCAAAACCTAGTTAACTAGAATGGAGCAATTCATTTTAAACACTTTCTAATAAGGAGTTAAATAGACATAGCCAACCATATTTCTTGGCATAAGTTTGCACACTTACAAAGTTGTAAGTCTAGTTCAGCTTGGCCTCAGGAGGCCTCTCCTTCACAGAGTCCTGTAGACTTGTGCTTGAATTTCTATCTCTAACAACACAGTTGTGGTCAAATCATAGCTACTAAGGTACCAATTGCCTGAGGAAATGAACCTCTAATTATAGCTAACAGCACTTCAGCAAAGCCCCGAGGATGGGAATGGTCCTCCATGTCCCTGATTCTAAGTGTCCAGGCTTGTTTTCTGCTAAATTCACACCTGTAATTCACCAAAGGATGACAGAAGCCCAGCACCATATGCCTTGATGGAATCTCCTTCCTTGCAGAGCCCAAACTCCACAGTAAACCAGTAAATCTGGAACAGAAAGCAAGCAAAAGACACTTATCAGGGATGAGCAAGACAGCAGGTACCCAAAGCACTGGGACATATCCAGTAGGTTGAAGTATGCACAGATATGTTCTCTGAATCAGTGTGGCCTGTTGGGAGCCAAATCTCAGGGCTTGGCATGAGATCCTAGGCCATGCTTGGCAGGCCACAGAGTTAACCTTTACATAGCAGCTCCTTAGAACCTCAGCTCAAAAAAAGAAACAACTTAACCCAGTCCTCCACCCACAGGCTTAGTCACCTAGGCAACCCTTTCCTGGACCTCTTACTCATAAACTCTTCACCCTGCCAAACATCCTCTTTGTGGCTTCCTAATATCCTACCTATACCAACACCTGGTGCACAAACAACACATTTTGCCCCTCCCCATAGCCTGACTATATAAGCTAGCCTGAGAAAAGCAAAGATTGCCACTTGATCAGAATCCTGTCTTGTGGTCATTCTTTCTGCGTCTCTTGTCCCCATTCCCTATCCCTGACTCTCTTGCCCCAGGCTGACGTCCTGCAAGTCGGGACAGTCACTTCTGTGTCCCATGGATTCTTCTATCCAGTCATCTGTTGAATCAGGGGTAGATGAGTCATGGTGTAATAAGACATGCTAGAGTGTGCTAAATCTCCCAAAGACATCCCCAACAAGTTCCTCTTTGTGTGACAGATTCTCCATGCCTTTTACTTTTCTGTCTATAGCACAAACTGGAATGATAGATTCCTAAGTTATCCCTATATTGGGAGGGTTCATCTGGTAATTTTTACCAAGGAACAGAAGTGAGTGGTTAAGGGATTGGATAGTGAGAGAATCCAAGAAGTGCATACTCCATCACTATGCAAAAGCATGAGGTACTACTGAAGTCAGCTATTATGTGTGTCTTCTCAGTAATCACATCCTCTTCTTCCAGCACCTCCTACTCCAAAGTAGCTTTGATACTTGGCCTAGATGACAGCCTTGGAGTTCTGGCACCAAGAGAAGACCAGGGCTTAGTGAGATGCTAAAGATGGAGCATCTTGGAGAATTAGGAGAGGTTTAACAGTTATGTCTCCTTGTTAGATTACAGGACATTAAGCCCAAGAAGGTCATCTGAGCCCAATCAATATGACTTCATCATATACAGCAAGCCTTCAGCCTAGAAAGTTAAGGCAACATGCTAACAGTGACACACAAAATCAAAGGCACAGAAAAGACACAGGTCTGTGCCCAGTCTAGAGTACCTATATGGTGGGTCCTCTTGATCAGAATCCTGTGGGTCATCAGTGAGGGACATAGTGAGATACTCTGGATTCTAAGACTTTAGTCCCTAGAAATAATAAATTCTATCCACTTTTACTAAAAGCCCTTGGAAAGCTGACTCTCTAAGATAACCTAAAATGTAAAAACTTACGTTTACACAAATTTAACTCTTTAGACACACATGAAATTCTTTTGAGATGGGCAATAAACTTTTATGCCCATTTTTAGAGATAAATAAACAAAAGCCACTTGCCCTGATACTCAGAAGAGATAGATGGTCAGTGGCCAAACCTAGTTTCTAGCCATTCTGAAGGAGGGAATACCCTCTCCCTCCCCTCCTCCCCTGCCCCCCACCAGCTCCCTATCCCATCCTGTTTCTGCTCCCCAGGGAGGGTGAGGCCTTCCATTGGAGATCTTCGAAGTCTGTCATACCATTTGGAGCAGGGCCTAGGCCCTTCCCCTTGTGTCTAGGCTGAGAGAGTATCCCTCTATGTGGAGTGGGCTCCCAAAGTTCATTTGTGTACTAGGGATAAATACTGATCCACTACCCAGGCCCCATAGATTGCCCAGACCTCCTGACACCCACATTCATGGGGTCTGGAGCAGTCCTATGCTGGCTTCCCAGCTATCAGTCAGGGGTCCATGAACTCCCCCTTGTTCAGGTCAGCTGTTTCTGTGGGTTTCTCCAGCCTGGTCTTGACCCCTTTGCTCATCATTCCTCCCTCTCTGCAACTGGATTCCAGCATTCAGCTCAGTGTTTGGCTGTGGGTGTCTGCCTCTGTTTCCATCAGCTACTGGATGGAGGCTCTATGATGGCATATCCTCTTTCCTTCTTGTGACTCAACCTTCCTGCTCCTTCATGCCCTCCTCTTCCCTCCTCTTCTCCCTCTTCTTCTAGCTCCCTCTCCCCTCCCCCATGTTCCCAATTAGCTCAGGAGACCTTGTCCCTTCCCCCTTCTCTGGGGGACCATGTATATCTCTCTTAGGGTCCTCCTTGTTTCCTGGCTTCTCTGGAGGTTTGGATTGTAGGCTGGTAATCCTTTGCTCTATGTCTAAAATCCACATATGTGTGAGTACATACCATGTTTGTCTTTTGGGAGTGTATCAGTTTCTAACTGGACACATCTCAATGCAAGTCTTGTAGTTTTTAATTCAATGTAAGCTTTTGTTTTTAATCTTCCAGGCCAGGCATATGATAAGAAACACATCCCTCTATACCTGGAGAGGGATGTACAGAAACTGGAAAATTTAAGGAAGGAAATTGCCAATGGTGCTGACCTGGTGTTTCCATAGCTCCTGTGTGTGCGTGGTCCCTACTTCTCTTATGAGAGAGGGAAATGTTTGGCAAGAATCTGAATTCCAGACCCATTTTCACCTTCTATCTAAAATAAACCCTGAGGCTAGTTCTAGTGCAGAGGTAGAGAGGTAAATATTTGCTGAACAAAGCTATAAATCCAGCTACTTCCTGGCACACATTGGGCCAAAGGATTTCCAGGGCTATTATTACACCTGGTTGTGGTTTTCAAGGAGATCCTATTAACAAGTATGTGGAAATATCCATATGCAAGCTCACCTAAAAATCCAGCCCCTTAAAGAAAAATCGAAATGTGGCATTTCATTCATGTGAATGTAATTTAACATGTTCTTATCGTTATTTCAAATGGCCTAGCTGACAGGGAGAGAAGAAATCTTCAAAAACCTGAAGGACACAGCCTTTAGCATTCCCATAATCCCTCCATGGATGAGACTTACTGTGGCCAATTTCTCGATGTATTCGTCAGGTGCACCCAGAGAAGCAAGTCCGATTTCCTGTGTGTGGAGAAACAGAGTCACTGGCACAGCCATTATTAAGGCTTTACTCTAGTTGTCAACCTGGCACCCAATAATGGGCAGGTAATTTATGACTAAACACTGCCTAGATTGATCCTGCATATTTGTAGAAGTCCACCCTGGCCAGGCCACATAGCACAGAGGCACAGACTTCAGGAGCAGAGGAATGTATCACCAGTACTTGGTTCTTTTGTATTCACTTAACAAAAAAGAAGAACAAGTTAGCCTGTGCATGGTCACACAGCATCTAAAACATCAATCTGTTGACAGCAGCCTAGTGATCACACACCCACACAGAATGAGAGGGATATTTCTGGAAGACAGAATGATTCTTAATCAGATACTTGAAAATGCCATAGAAAGATTGCAGAGAAGTGATTGCATCATTCCAGACATACACATAACTGGAAAGTCTGAAGTGCCATGGCTCACTAAGTACAGCCTCAACTGCAAAATTCCTCTGGAGGTCTCTTGGACTCTTCAACAGCACCCCTCTTTATTTCTCTGTGTGTGCGTCTTTCCAAACATTTATTCATTCACTCCAAATGTGTGCACTAAATGTTTCCTATGTGCCAGGAAATACACAAAATTGGCAAATATACTTTGCCTTGTCATTTACAATAAAAATACATAATTATTAAGATGTGCATGGATAAGTAAAAATTTAGCAAAGTCTTAGGGGGAAGAAAACACGAGGAGGAAGAGACAAAGGATTGGGAGCTTCAGGGAATCCTGGGAAGACTACATTATTAATTTGGGTTCCAGGAAAGCATCATCAAGAAGGTAGTATTTGGGGAAAGACTTGGATGTTATTGGTTCTTCTGATGACACTGCAGAGCAAACATCAAGTATACAACTAGTGGGAACACTGACTAAGCAAGCGAGATGTGGGCTGCTTCCAGGAGCAGGGAGGGAGGGACGAGTGCAGCTACAGCATAGAGAGAGCATTGGTAGGTAACACTAAAGATCCCAAATTCAATCATGTGGACTTTGTTTTAGACTTTTGAGAACTTGGGTTTTTCTTTTCTGTGAAATAAAAATCCATTTCAGGATTTTTAGTAGCTTTTATTGTTTTTATTCTTTGGTAATTTTATGCACATATATAAATTATTGTAGAGTAGATATGATCTAATGTATGTCATCAAAGACTTACTCTGGGTATTTTGTGAGAATAGACTTTGGGATCAAGGGCAAAGGTGGGATTTCAATGAGAAAGCTAAAGAAAACAAATAAAGTATGAGAGTACCTGAGATCATCTTAACAACAAGGAAAGGGCATGTCGGAGCACAAATTCTCATCAAGGAATGAGAGTGGCTGAGGTCAGATTAACCCCCAGATGTGCTTTTGGCTGGAGCAAGTCAAAGAATGGAATTGTTATGTACTCTTACTAGGAAACTTATGGGTAGATAAACTTTGAAGAAGATTCAAAATTCAACTTTGGACAGGAATATAGTGATGTCTAATCAACATCAAGTGGGGTGGAGATGCTGAATTGATAGTTCATATGTAAGCCTGAATTTGGCATTGAAGTCTAAGCCAAGAACATGAATGTTCAATATTATATTAGAGATAGTATTCATAGCCATGAGATTGGCTAAGCTCACCAAAGGAGTGGGTGCAGATAGGGAGGAAGACTAAGGAATTTTTCTATCTTGAATCAAGAGGTTACATGATCTGTATCACCATAGCCTTCTCTGGGCCCCACATTGAGGCTGACCTACACTGTCCCTATAAAACATACTGTCTGACTTAGAGTAAACCAAGTTCAGGTAGCCCCTAGCCTGGTTCTCCTACCCCATTCCTCCTCTGTCTCTACTCTAACTCTAACTCTATTCTATTTCTAGATATGCCAATCCTGAGTTTAACAGACTCCATTGATAAACCGAGGTCAAATCCATGGTTGTTTCTCTTGACATCATTTTTTTTTAAAGATAGGGTCCTATGTATTCCAGGCTACCCTCAAACTGGCAGTATAGGCAAAGATAATATCAAATTCCTGATCTTCCTTCTTGCATCTACCAAAGGCTGAAATTGCAGGTGTGTGCCACAACACCCAATATCTTGTCGTCATTCTTTGTAAGCCAAGAGTTTAGCTAACGCAGGGGGCCCCCAATATCTCTCTGCACTCCATCACCACCCCCATTCTGCCCGACAGTGGTAAAACAAACAAAGAAACAAAAAACTTCTGACGTTAAATCAAAACAAAATGTTCTCAGAGAACAAGTCTTTGCCTTGGGACTATCCACGTCAAAGATGAGAGTGTTAAACAGATGATCATACAATGTCTGCTGACGTTAATTGTCTACTCCTCTCCAGGGTTACCCAAAATGCAAATGACTTAAGACAGACTGCCACCTGCTCTTCAGCTAAATAGAATATCTCTCATGTCAAGAATTCAAGGTTCCTATTCTCCAAGGAAAAAGCCTCTAATTCTCCTGTCATAGTAACAAGTTCCTGTTTTAAAACTGTCTTGAGTAATAATACCGTCTTGGCAGCTGTAACTACACTATTGGCAATAACACTTTCATAGTTAAAGTTCAAACAGACACTCCCACTTCTAAAGTCCAATGGTTTCAGGGCTTCCTGATTCTCAAAGCCTCACATGGAAGTAGCAAGTGTTTTTTGTTTGGACAGCCTAAGTCTTCTAAGTAGTCAAGAAATCAGTTAAAAATTTTATTTCATTTGTTTCAAATATCAAGCACCAGCTGCATTGTTCCACAGTGGAAATGCTTCCTGCAGCAAATGGGAAATGCTTGTAGATTTGAGCACAAAGTCATTACTCTCAAATCCCTACTTGGAGCATCATTCACTCATGTGTCATCCTTTGACCATCACTCTTTCTAGTGAGGAAGAAGACCCATAAGACCAATTTTACTGATTCAAGTTCTTGGGAACTGAGACACATGATGGCTTCACAGCTTGTCCAGTTCATCAAAGCTCTGTGTGGGGCCTATAAATACCTAGGAGTCATCATTCGATCTGTAATCCCAGCTACCCAACTGAGCTTTAAAATATTTATTTTGTTCTTCTGGTTTGTCGAGTCAGGGTTTCTCTGTGTAGCTTTGGAGCCTATCCTGTCACTGGCTCTGGAGACCAGGCTGGCCTCGAACTCACAGAGATCCACCTGCCTCTGCCTACTGAGTGCTGGGATTAAAGGTCTGTGCCACCAACACCCGGCTTAAAATATTTTTATAGCTTTTAAATTATTTGGGTACCTTTGTGTCTCTGTGGGGTGTGTTCATATGAATGCAGATGCCCGCAGAGACCACAGTCATTATATCCCTTAGAGTTACAGGTGGCTATTGGTCACCTGATGTGAAAGCTTAAACAAAAACTATGATCCACTGCAAGAGAAATATGTTCTCTTAACTGCTAAGTCATCTCCTAGACTTCCCCCCTCACCTCCCTTACACACATGAGACCTCCCTCTGGGTGACAAGAGAGAATTTTTTTAACTCATCAGAAAACAATTTTGAGTTCTCTCATTACTGTGAATCGAGGCCATTGTACTATTTTGACACTGGCAAGGAGAATTTTGGTTCTTTCTTTTATCTTTCTTTCTTTGTTCCCCCCCTCTCTCTAGTCAGTCTTATACATAAGATCATTGATGTTGAATTCTTGGCAAATGTCATCTTATCTAGTTCAAGTATACATATAGATGACTGCCTGACAAGATGGAAAGTGTCAAAGTTTCTCAAAAGAGTACTGGATGGAAAGTAGTAGGCAAATTTGAAAGCAGGTGATGTCTGCATAGAGACGAGAGATGATTTTATCAAGGAGAAGGCTATTAATGTATGACTGATGAGATCATTGAGATTATCCAATTGATCATAGGCATGTCACAGGATGATCAATTGCCAACCCCAGGCTGCAGTTCTGAGTGTTCAGCCTGGCCCACAGAACGTGGAATGATATCTTTTTCCACTCTTACAGAGCATGTAAGGGCCCCTTTGTCAGGGATTAACTCATTCTAGCAATGCAGTCCCAACCCTCTAGTCAAGTCATTTTTCCTTACCTGGGAAAACTGGGCAAAGCTGCGATCTGAAAACAAGGGCACATGTCCCAACAGTTCATGACAAATGTCTCTAAAACAGAAACCATAACATTTAGAGGATGGAAAGGTTAAACCAAGTTAGACACAATGAGGAAGAAATAGCACATTGAGACCTGGGACTTTACACTCAAGAATAAGCTCTGTGCAGAGCAAAGGATCCCTTGAAATAAAGCATGAAAGAAAAGGAAGAAATGGAAAGGAAAGAAAGGAGAGGCAGAGTCGCTGGGAGTCCTGGGAGACAAGAGGGGCTGAGATGTGCAGCCAAGGAACCAGCATCTGTATGGGTCTCTTCTCAGATACCTGAGTGAGTTGGGGGTCACAGATCCCTCCCATCCCAAGTCTCCTTGTCACTCACTTACCTGGAGAGAAATAATGTGCCCAGTTTTTCCAATAAGAACTTTTAAAAATAAAGGTGTTGCTCTTTTCTTGACCCAGAGTAGGGCAACAGTCAAAAAAGAAAGGCTACATTTTTTTCTAAAACACTACCAGGTCCAAAGCAACAAGTCCTTTCAAATTGGCAGCCATGAACATCATGAAGAAGGGAAATAATTTGGGACATCATCCTGATCTCTTTGGATCAATTTCTATGTGACTAATGAGATGGCTAGAAGTCTAAGTAGGAAGCACAGTAGCTCTCCCCCACCCATTCTCTACTTCTGGCCAATCCATAATCCATGCAAAGAACTGGCATTATCTAGATGCGTATTTGGGAGATGCTGAGATCACTCAGCTACTCTTGTTCCTGTCCTATTTGGAACTTCAGATGTCTGGACTTTGAGGATTGGTGGAACTTCTTTTCCTGCTTTCCAAGGAGATCCCAATCCTTGGTTCACAGGATGTCCAAATCTGTGTGTTAAAATTTCTTCTCTCTGGACTGAGACAATCCCCAATGTGTGAGTTTGTCTTAGAACTATGATGAAATAAAGCAGGCAACGAATTGTGCAGATCAGCCTGCAATGAACCTAGGCAGAATTCTTAGCGCAGGTAGGACTAGTGCCCATTGTGATTGGCAGTGGTAGCTAGAGAATGGTACTCACGGTTCAGGTGTGTACATGGGCTTAGACCCATGCCTGATGTATTGTGTGCAGTGGAAGACTCGGAAGGCCAGGCCACCCAAGAAATCTCGAGAGGACAGTAAGCCAGCAACAGGTCGGAGGCGGAAACCAGTACAAGCTGAAAAACAGAAGACAACCTAAAACTCAAACCCAGTGGAGAAGCCAGAGAGGCTACAAAACCCTCAGGAGGGAACCAATACCCAAGAATGTGAGATTTCTATCAAGGAGGCTTAGCTTCTGGTCTCTGCCACCTTGGCTGTGTTGGGTAAAGTAAACTCACATTGATGAGATTCAGTTTTCTCATACCTGCAAAATGTATGTGGGTATTACTGAGGTATATACTCAACAGCAAAACAGTAATGACTAAAAATTCCTAGCAAAGCCTAGCCCATTGAAAAACTCCACTAAATTTCTTTTTTGCTACTGCCTTTTGGGATCAAATACTTTCCCACTACTTCTCATGTTTCTGGAGTAGTGAGGAGATTTAAGATCAACATCAGGAGTAGAGTAGAGTGTGTAATGAGCACTTCCACACACAGCCCATCCCAAGAGGAGAAATGTCCTGTCTGACTGCAAAAATGGGGACAAGAAATGTATTTATAGCATCCAAGAAATGTATTTATAGCATCCAGTCTCTCTCTCTCTCTCTCTCTCTCTCTCTCTCTCTTCTTTCTCTCTCTCATCCATAAGGCAGTGTAGCAGGCACTGAGAACTGGTGTACATTTCCCTAATCAAGGGTTAAATTACTGGGAAAATTTTGAGCACCAATTTATACCACATCCTCCAAATAACTTTTCTTTAAAGCTACCAATTGATAGCCATCCTCTGTTTCCTACATTTGTTTCTCAATCTACTCTACATCAGGAGTAGAAAGTGGCTCTGTGATGACCATAACTAACACTACATACTACCTAACATATGCCAGGCACAAGCTAACCCTTACAATGACTATGAGGAAGACATTTTTATCATCCCCACTTTAAAGATGGGGAAGTTGAGACATGAGTTAAAGCTTTTAGTCTGGGACCACAAGCCACAGACCACAAGGTTTCAAAGCTTCTTGACTGAAATTATATAATTTGGCAACTGCTACCATTGGTGCTTATTATTCTTATCAGTAGTCAGTAGTAAACTGGAGACCATCTTTTTAGGACTGGCTCTCACACTCCCTTCACTCTACATTTTCATGCTGATAATCACCTGGTTTAAACTCTTGCTCCTTGTTTTATTCTAGAGGAGGGAAACACCTCAAAGATCATCACCTCACCTGTTCCAGTTCTAATCTCCCTCCCTGCCATGTACTTGTTTTTGACCCATTTCCTATCCCTTTGAGGTTCTGATGCACAGAAAAAGTCCTCCTTTCTATACAACTGTAGCTCATCTCCTTACTTCCCCTTATTCTACCTAGCACATAGTAGGTGTTCAATATGAACTAGTTGACTGTTCACACTTTGCTAAATGAGCATCCTATTGTCAGAAGGAAAAACGCTAATCTCCTTTTGGAAAGCCTACACAGGGATCATCACTCAGATAATGCATGACTCAGTATCTCACATCATCATTAGCCCTCAGACTCACTGAACACTGACTGCAGACCCAGCACTATGCCAAGTTCTTTTCATCTGCAACATCTCATTCCAATCTTGTAATTTCCCTGTGACCGATGTCAACACAGCGACAGTGTCTACTTGGCAGGTGACAACATGAAGGCAGATTTACACAACCACAAAAGGTCAAATGGGGGATCCATCCCAGATGAACAGACTCAGGACGAGGGACTCTTGGCACTGGCCTACAGACAGCATACTTTTTTCTTGAATTGGCATCCAGCCATTTCCCAACAGTGGGCGCTGCAGGGAAAACACTGGCAGGCACCTCGGGCTCTGGGTATGGGAGAAGACATTTTCAGAGACAGCTATATGGCAAAAATCCACACCTGACGTTCTTGCTTGGCCAGAAGAAGATCAATAATGAAGGTGAGACGGAAGGCAGGAGACAATGCATCTGGATTCTTCCTGGAGACTCAGCCTGCACTGCATCACCACTACTCACAACAGCCTTCCTTTTCTCCCTGCCCCCACCCCACGGCCTGCAGAGCCTTGGCCCTGATGTGGACTTACTCTGCAGAAACTGAGAAACATCTTCCAGCTGGGGAATGTTGTCTTCACGGAACCCGCAGTACTTTTCCAGAAGTGGGAAAATGTGGTTGTGTTCATAGCAGGCATGCGTTTTATACAAGGCCTTCAGTGTCTTGAACACTGTTCCCCAGGTCTTCTTCTCTTCTTCTGTGTATTCCACCCGAGGGATGGGCTGCCCACTAGAATACAGTCATGGAACAGGTGTCTCCAACAGAGAAGGGTCAGGACACACAATGTGGTAAAGTCAGAAGAGGGAGTCGGGCTCCCCAATTTGTGAGGAGACCAGCATGGATGTGAAGCATTGTTTGAAAGAAACACTAATGTGTTGGTTCCCACAGGAAAACATGGTTTGGTTGAGGAATTGCTGTCATTCTAGGAAGTTATTTGGTCTTTTTGCTCATTTAACTGTCCAACTGTTTAAGGGGCTAGGCAGGTGACATACAGGTGTAAAAAAGTATAGTATGTAGAGGACAGTACAGAGAATGGGAGCTGGGACAACTAAACAATGTATCCTCTTTCCAAACAAAGGTACCATGTCTTGTATTATCACCTAAAACAATCAGTTTTGCCTAACTCGGGGTTTAATAGCTAGGATGTGTGTTTCAAACTTGTCTGGGGAGCTCCAACCTGCTGAGTTTGATGCTTCTGTTCCTGCAAGTTATGAACTATTTAAATGAAGACTAAAGTCCCACATTGTATATATCTATATATCTTAAGGTGTGTGTGTGTGTGTGTGTGTGTGTGTGTGTGTGTGTATGTGTGTGTGTGTGTGTGTGTGTTTTGCTACATGTTATCAGTACATGTCAATTAACAAGATTCTAAATCAAAAGTAAGAAATTTATAAACATTGAGATGGAGGAACAAATAAGCATGATAAGATATATGATACGCTCATATGTGCCAAGTTTGTCAAAGCACCTACATGAGATTCTGTCCCACCGTCCTGATGCACTGGAACAGGGAAAGCCAAGGACAGGTGGATCTTAATAAGCCCCCTAGGTGACTGATGCAAGCTGCAATTTAAGAGTCATGAGTTTGGAAGCTTCGGAGCTATGTCCTAAAAACAATGAAAACCAAACAAAACTTGACCTCCCAGACCAGGAACTGTTCCCTGGGCTGCAGCCCTGCTCCCCTCACCAGGGACACAGAGTCTGGGACAAAGTAGGACTGTTTACCTTGGAACTGTGGATCTGGTTCCAAACTAAGTTCCTCATGCACTTTCAAAATTGTAGCTCATCCAAGGACATTAGAGCAAAGACTGTTACTTTCTATGGAAAGGTGAGCCGGGATTGAGGAGGAAAGACAGATTGTTGATTGAGAAATGAAAAGGACTCAAGCTCAGAGGATCTTCTGGTCAACCAGCAGGGACTGCAAAACAATGTCAGGTGAGCCTTTGCCCAAGACTACACCATAATCCAGGGTTAAGTGGTAATGGAAGAAAAGAAAAAGGCTTTGGAAATAGAAACTGATCAAAACTTGGCCATGCCATTTTTTGGATGTGTGGCCTCAGGCAATTAGTAAACAGCTACCAGCATTAGTCCTGCAGTTAACACATTTTTAAGGTGGACAAGACTGTATGAAATGTTATTCATAAAGGAATATATATATTCATAATATTGGAACTGGCAATAACTGTTGATCATTAAATAACTAGTTCTCATTTCAAAGAAAGGCATTGATGGAACCAGCAGGATGGTTCTGTAGTTAAGGGTACTTGCTGCTAAGCCCAGACCCCACATGGCAGAGAGAGCTGATTCTGATTTACACAAGTTGTCCTTTACTTCCACACATGAGTCATGGCACACACACACACACACACACACACACACACACACACACAAGTCAGGCAACTGGTGTTTCTGCAAAAATTCCAAGAAGTGGTGACATTTTGAATATGCAGCTGTCTCCCCTGGTTGACACTTTCACTTCCAGTGACCCAACATGCCTTTCCCCATCTTGCAGCACCACTTTCAGCTGTGGCAATTGAGAAAGAGGACACTCAATGACACCTTTACAAGTGGAAGTGTGGTCAGGGTTGTCCAATCATAGTTTCTTTACCTTGACCACAGTAATTGGCTGAAAATCAGGTCCATGTGTAGTCAGAATGAACAAGACCCAATCACAGAACTTCAGGTGATTTTGTAAGAAAGAGTGAGAACTTCTAAGTTGGGACATCACTTGGAACCTATCTCTGAGAAGATGAGGCCAAGCTTGAAATCAAGAACAGTGCTAAGGGAGTGAGTCAGGAAAATGGAGGGAGACCCTGAGTTCTGAACATGCTTAGGCCTGGGGTTACTAGACACTGTGACAATGGTGAGATTAATACTGAGGACAGACAAATTAAAGACAGCCTTTGTCACCTCCTAATTATCTGACTTTGACAAGTTATTTAACTTTTTTCAACTTCTGCTTCCTATCTGAAAAATGAGAATTTATTACAATATTGTGTGTGTGTGCATGCTCGAACACATTAAATTTAGCAAAACCCAAAATACTCAGCAAAGAGATGATAATCAAATTGACTGTGAAGAAGAGCTCTTACCTACACTGACTTAGTGAGGCAAAAGTGAGTTCAGAGAAAGGTCACCATGTTCCCTTACTTCTGCTAAACAGAAGGCAGGGTCCAAATGGACCTTAATCTGAACAAGACCACATAGCTCTGGATCATTCAGAGAAGGTGACATTCTGGGTGTCTTTCCATCCACAGGTATATAGAGCCCCAGTATTTGCTTAAGTCACTGATGTCCCACCAAAGCTGTTACAGTGATGTCCCAGTACCTCAGTTTCTGAGACAACTCTACTCAGTCTCCAGGACAGCTCTACCTCAGTCTCTGGAACAGCTCTACTCAGTTTCCAAGACAGTGCTCCCTCAGTCTCCAGGACGGTGCTGGAGTTTCTTTTCATGCATGCCTTTTCTTATTCTCTTAAATCAGAAATTGATGTTCTCAAAACACCCAGTTTCCTAAGTCACAATTTACATAGTTCCCAAGGATTCACAACAGCAAAGCCATTGTGTTCCCAAACAACACATCTGGTATGGCCATTTTCTTTTGGCTAAAATGATAGAATTATGAACAGGGAAAAAAAATCCATCTCACAGTTGTCCCACACAGCTGAGTCAACCAGATCAGTAGAACACGTGAGTGTGGCTGGTCCAAAGGCTCCAGGGCTCATTATTTCACTGGAGCAGCCAGATTTCTTCTTCCTGGTCTAATGTGGAAAAGACAAGAGGCTGTTCCTTTCAGGATGGAAGCCTCTCTGATCATTCCAGATACAATGAATACTGTGCTAGCAAAGCTTGAGAGAGAGCTGGGCTACAGCAGTAGGTACTTCTGTTTGATCTAGAGGCTATTTTTTCAAATGCATTGTTAGGAGAGAGCTTAAACACATATGCACACATAAGCATACACACACATACACATATACACACTCATACAAAAAGACACACTTATCTACACACAAACATACACACACACATACATATACATACACACATCAACACACACACATACAAATACACAAACATACACATACACACACACACACACACACACACACACACACACACACACACACAAACACAAACACAAAGCAGGGTGTTCTGGGCTGATTCTTTCCAACCTAGAGCAAGGGTTAGGGGTATGCTCTTCTCAGGGAGACTTACTGGCGGTAGTTGTAGGCAATGTCAGCAAACTGCTTTCGCCTCGCCCGGTACACAGGATCTTTAAAGCCCTACGAGAGAGAGAGAGACTTGATGACTCAGGTCTGCAGAGGGAGAGGCCTGGCACTGTTGCTGAATAGTCTTTTTGTTCACTGTGAAGACGTGTTGCTCTCATTGGTTTAATAAAGAGCTACTGGCCAATAGCTAGGCAGGAAAAAGTTAGGTGGGACTTGTGAACACGGGAAGAGTGCTGGGATGAAGAAGGGTGGAGTCACCAGGATTCAGAGAGAGGCAAGATGAACTTGCTGTGCTGAAAAAAATAAAGGTACCACCATGTGGTAGAACATAGATAAGAATTATGGGTTGTTAATTTAAGTTCTAAGAGCTAGTTAGTAATAAGCCTAAACTACCAGTCAAGCATTTATAATTAATAAGTCTCTGTGAATTTATTGAGGAGCTGGTGGTCCCACCAAAAAACTCTGCCTACATGGCACCTCTACCAGCAATCTGAGTGGAAGTTTTCCAGCTATGACGGCACATATCTCTTTTCCTTGATGATGCTCTAACACACAGTTCCAGTTAAACACAGGGTTTTCTATTTTTATCAGTGACAAACACTAAGCCACACCTTCAGTGCAGTGAAATCTTCCCCACCCTGAGATTCTAATATATACAGATATACTCTGATCTTTAAGAAATGTCATCCATACCATTCCCAGCTTCTAAACTAACAGGATCAAGCCAAGTTAGATGTCTGTGTTGAAGGCATAAAGTCTTCACTTAATTTCTGGTAAGTGGTGTGTATTTAGTAATGCCTCCTTGTGTGTGCCTATCTGTGTGCATGTGTTCGTGTGTGTGTGTGTGTGTGTGTGTGTGTGTGTGTGTGTGTTGGAATTTATGTATGTTGTGGGGTGGGAGCATGCAGAACCCAAAGTTCAATCCTTGGGTGTCAGTCCTCAGGAAACTTCTACCTTGTTTTATAAGATAGGTATGTGACACCATGCCTAGCTCTTCACATGGATGCTGGGGCTTGAACTTGGATTATCATATCTGTACATCTGTTTTTTTCTAACTGAGTTATTGCCACAGTTTCCATTTAAAAAGTCACTATGGAAATTAGTATGGAGGCTTCTCCACATTTCTTGGCAAACAAATGGAAATGTACCCACTGCTATGGCATTTTTATTTTTGCATTTTATTTTCTTTAAATAAAATATTTCTGGATAGCCCAAACTGGCCTCAACTCTCCTGCCTCAGCCTCCCAAGTGCTAGGATTATAGGCCTGTGTCACCATGCCCTGATGGCAATTGTTGAAAATGTTCTTTACCAGGTGTCTACAGCTGTGCCAGCTTTTGGCATAAAGTTGTCAGGCAGATCAGTGTGCATAGTCTTCCAGAATCAACAAGAGACCTGGTAAATCAGATCCATAATGGAAGGGCCAACCTTTGGATCACCCAGCTCTCTTCTCTTTTTACTACACTTCAGCAATTGTGAACCTTGCTGACCTGGCAGACCCTCCACTGATGGAGCAAGCCACCCCAGACAAGAGGATGATGACTTCTCTGGGGCTGACTGGCTGTCGATCTTGCCAGGGGTGCCAGCAACACATTTCCAATGAGGAGAGGCCAAGTGTATCTTTGAGTGTTTAGGGTGGAGTGGGGCACATCAAGAGCTGGAAGTGTCCCAGCTGATGGGAAAGGTACTTGACAGAAAAGTTCACTGTGCTCTGAAATTTAGTGAGGCAAGAGACTGGTCCATAGAGCATGTCTTTGTTCCCTGCAGACATTTCCCAACAAGCTCTTCCAGAAAGCACTTTAATTTGTAATCATCTGTTTCCAAACCATGGGCTGAATGTCTTGAAAGTTCAGGCTTGTATCACAGGCACAGTTTAAAGATGCATTTTAAAAAAGGGAAAATGCTGTGGGTTTCAAAGTGGTTTTTTTTTTTTTTTTTTTTTTTTTTTTGGTATATCAAAGTCAACCAGCAGTTTTTCTTTTTAAGTAAGGCAATTCATATAAGGTAATTTTACATTAAAACCTGGAAGGGAGGATAGGGAGGGAGGGAGAGAAAACTGGAGGAAAGACAGAGAAAGGGAGATTTCTAGTATGTTTACCAGGATGGATTTTGAGAAATCAAAAATCCTGAAAACATCACACTAGTAAAGTAAAATGACCATGTGGTTATTCCACACCCAAGTCCCAATTAAAGGAAAAACTACTCATTTTAAAACGATTCTATGATATGGCTGTTACAAAGCACAAGCTGTTGTTTTCCCTGAAACACTGGCTGGATTGATATCATTAATTACATATGGGGGACTGGAGAGATGCCTCAGCACCTTAACTCAGTTAAGATCTTGTTCTTGCAGCTATTCCAGAGGACCCAGCTTTCGTTTCCAACATTCACATAAGGTGGCCACAACCACCTGTAAATCCAACTCCAGGGTATACCACGCCCTCTGCTGGGCTCCAAGGGTACTCACACACACCTTCTCTCTCTCTCTCTCTCTCTCTCTCTCTCTCTCTCTCTCTCTCTCTCTCTCTCACGCACACGCACACGCACACGCACATGCACACACATACACATAACTATGCATAAATAAAAATAAAATAAGCATTAGAAATAAAACAAATAGGGAACTTGGAAGCTTTTCTTTGTCAGCTGTCAGTTTTCGAGGCAGGTTCTTACTCTGTAGTTCAGGCTGGATTATATAATCATCCCACCCCAGGCTCCTGTGTATTGGGATTAAATGTGCACACCATGACACCAGGCTTTAGGAACCTAAGAACTTGCAATTAACATAGCGTTCATTTATGCTGAGGAAAGATGAGTGGATATGCTTGGATATGCTAAGAAGAAAACTGGGCCCTGTGGTTTAATTTCCAAACACCACCAGCTTGCCATTGGGGGACCATCTCTACTAGAGTAGACAATAAACATTTACTTATCCATATATTCATGCTTGAACTCAAAATATTGACTCAAATTTAACAATTTTCATCTTGACTAGCCAGTCTTAACAGATGGTGGTATGTGTCTCTCCATAGCCCTTCAAAATATAAATGAAAGGTTTCCACACCATCAGGCACTGAAGAATATCTAGTTCTGTTTTGGTATCAGAAGGGTAGAAATGAAGCTCCCTTAGGCCATTTGCTGAAGGATCCTGAAGTGTAAAAAATAAAATAAAAATAAGACACAGCATCTTCATTACAGTTTTCCAAGGCTAACCATACTGGCAAGTTGAGATTTGGGATCTGAAGCAGAAAAGTGGGGACACGAGGGAAGACTCATTCAACGGAAGGCTTTCCATTTCATACTGCCTTTAGGAAAGGAATGCCCACATCTAATTCTCACTCACACTCAACTAGTGTTCATCATTAATGTGCCTTGTCTGGGTGCTGTATGGGTCTTCCATCTGTGAAAATAAAATCTCAATGCAAAATTATATATCTAGTAGACAGTCCCTATGTTAAGGGGAATATAAAATGGAAGGAATTCACCTACCTCAAACAAATGTACCTTGGAGGTGGTGGGGATAATGGTCAGCCATCAATGCTATGTACATTTTTGAAGTTTTCTGCTGTGAGTATGTGTTTTGTTATTGGAAGGAAGCAAAATAATATTCTAACTCCATTTCAAATCACTTGAGGGTAGTGGCAGGAGATCCGGTACATGAACAGACAGGTGTAGTGAGAGTCATCATCTCTGCTCCTCCCCTTCTATGCTCATTTCTAGTCCCCGGTCTCTAAAACCTTCAGTACGAACCTGCAAAGAGCTCCCACCAACCAGATCTCAGGGACTTTGGCTCAATAGGTTTCTCTGGTTAGATCTGTGACCTTGAAGTCTATTCTTTCAGGGATTTGACCTTTCATCCTTTGGGTTGCCAGGTGACCACACAGTCCCTGCATCCATCGAAGTAAAATGCATTCTGAATTAAGCTGCAATTGGTGATGACTGATCACCCTGTCTCAATTTAGACTGATAGCAGCAATTCGACAGCACTGCAGGTAATTTATTTATAATCACCCTGTCTCAATTAAGCAAATAGCAGTGATTTTGGTTGCCTTGTGTGTAACCGAGTATGTTTTGACAGGAAAACATATTGTCAGTGAAGAAGTGGTGAAGGGAAGGGGTCAGAAGGAGGAAAAAGAAGTCTATAAGAAATTATGACACCACCAGAGTCTATATGCAATCCCTTTTCTCAGTCTCAGAAAGGGCATTACTTCAGGGTATCTATGACATGCCATCTGAGGATTCTTCTAGATTGACATACTAGTTTACTGCTTCTTTTTGTCACAGCTGGGGTTAAAGCTCACAAATGCCATCTTCGGGACAGCAAGGAGACCATTGGTTTTAAACTGCCATGCTGCACTCACTAGGAATATGGCCTTATGTTGACCAGTTTATCCCTTAAAGTTTTGGTTCTCTCATAAGGAAAGTAAAGTTGCTAATCACACCTGCTTCGCAGAGTCACATGGACAGGGTTAGGTCACATGGCAGAACATCATGTAAAAATGTGAGCACAGGACAGGCACTCCAAGAATGGCAATCTGCAAAAAGGCAGAAACATGAAAGCTGGGGACTCTGGCTCAGAACATAGGAAGGTACACTCTGGAGTAGGACTCCGAGTCCTTTCACATACCCTCGGCCCTTTTAAAGGCACCTACAGGGCCAGCCAGAGGGCTAAGCAGCATGAGGTACTTGCTTCTCAGGCCTGATGCTTGGTACCATGATGGATGGAGAGAACAGATACCCTCAAGCTGTTCTTTGGCCTCCACAGGAGTACAGGGGCACAATGCACCCACACACATACATTGTACATACATTGTACATGCACATGCATTATGTATTTCTAATAATTATAATTTTTTGAGATAGGCTCTTGCAACATAGCCCTGGCTGTCCTAGAACTTACTTTGCAGATGAGGCTGGCTTCAAATTCACAGAGATCTGCCTGCCTTTACCTCCCTAGTGCTGAGATTAAAGGTGTACATCTCCCTATAAATTAATGTTCAAAACAAAAAGTAACAGGTATCGAAAATTTTGTAAAGAAAAAGGACCACTTGAGTTCTATAGGTGGGAACATAAAACATTACAGACAATGGTATGAGGTCCCATGAAACATGCAAAGTAGAACTCACACACTCTTCATTGAAACCACATGTACACAGCCATTCCTATGAAAACAGAATGCAACACTGTGGCCTGGAGAAGAGATGGGGGAATGGCTTGGGGAGCGGGGGCAGGAGATAGGAGTGTAGACTTGAAAGACCAGCCCAGGCTTGCCAGTGAGGTTAAACAGCAACAATGCTCTGAGGAGGAGCCACTCGGGTATAGGGCACAGCATGAAGAATTTGGGGAGCAGAAATCAAACACCTCCCTTGGGGTTCTGCCCACAATGCTTATAGGTGCTATCTTATGTACCCCTGGCATCACACAGAAAAGTTGATGCCCCCCCCGACTTTTTTTTTTTTGCTTTGCAGTTGGAAGGGCAGGTGGGCATAGATACATCTCGGGTATCACTTCAGCTCCCTTTCCTATATGCATAGAGCAAAGCTCACAGACACAACTTCCTAAGGGTCCTCAGCTGACATTGAGAAGCCCAACCAGTTCTCCAGAGTGCTGACTGGTACTAAAATTAACCGCATGGCAAGCATTTTAGCATTGTGCCTAGTACACAGACTGTGATCAAGAAAGGTTAGCCAGTAATGCCAGCTAAATTGATAAATATTTGTGGAAAAGAAGAAGGGAGAGATAGAGACAGGGAGGGGGAGGAGGAGGAAGAGGAAGAGGCAGAGACTGCGGGGAGAAGAGGAGAGAACAGGAGAGGTGAGAGAGAGAGAGAGAGAGAGAGAGAGAGAGAGAGAGAGAGAGCAAATAAGGTAGGTGGGACAGAATGAAGGACAGTCTTGACAGTCTTTCATCCTATTCCATTTTCTCATTTCACTAACCCTGAAGGCAGAGTGTCTTTACCCTGGATTTCCAGAACAATCTTTCCTTTCCCTCATTTCACAAAGTGACTATTTGGGAGGCTCCGAAGTACTAGGTCAAACACAAATGCACCCTGCCAAGGGCAGGGGGTCAGGGGAGGAAGGGATCACACTGACTGCAAGGGACAGAGTAGAACAGAGGGTCCTTGAATAAGAACAGCCCCTTCACTGCTAGGGTGGTGTCTGCTTGCAGTTCACACCTTGAGGCCAGGCCTGTGGGGGCTGGCGGCTTTGGGGGAAACTCCCTTGGTTTTGCTCTATGCTTGGCCCCTGTTCCCAGCATCTGATGAAAAACCAAAGGAACAGAGAGAGCCTGGCGCCTCCTCTACAGGGGCCTGTGTACCTGATAAGTTGTGTTTTTATGATAAAATTCACGACATGCAGAGGCTGGGAAGCCAAAGTTGTGGCCTGGGTTGGCAAAGAGAAATGAATTCCAGAGAGTTTTAAGGCCAGCTTTGGCTTCTGAGGGGACATGACACTAAAGGGAAGGACATGTCCCTCTCTCTCTGGACTGGCCTCTCCCACCCACCCAAATGATTAGGATTGAGGCCAATGGGAAGAACAGAGGGTCAAGGCAGGACGATGGGGGCTGGTGGGAGAACAGAAGCCCTGGTGTGTGCATTCTGCGGGTTGAGTCGGGACGGTCTTGTTTTCCTGAGGGGAAGAAATCTCCAGAGATGGTTTTTGCTTTCAAGGCTCATGACTGAGAGGCACAGGCAGAGGCTTGTTAGAGGGGACATCAGAGTGTTGCCATTGTAGCCTTTGCCGCCTGAAATAGACTGTGTCATATAAAGGAAGACAACAGAGAATCTGTCCCTCCAGAGAAAAACATTTTTGCTTTGTTTTCAGTTTAGTTTGGTTTCATTTGGTTTGGTCTAGTTTGGTCTGGCCTAGTTTGGTTTGGTTTGGTTTTAGAGACAGAGTCTCACTACATAACCCAGGCCATCTTAGAATTGCCAAGCCTCCTGCCGGAGGCTCACAAATGCTCACCATCAGGTCTGTGAAACACATTATTCAAGGCTTATGTGGGATGCTTAAAAACAACTTCTGTCCTCAGCTTGGGCTAATTTATTCTAATGTCTAAATGAGATTTAGGAGAGCCATCACAAGTCTGGTTGAAGATGTCAGGCAGAATTCTTCACTTCAGTGCAACAATGGAGGCGGACATGTGCTTGGTAATGCCCGACGAGTGCCGGCTAACACATATATGTACACTTGCATGGCTGTGCGTGGAGGAGACCTCTCCCAGACATCAATATTATTTTAGAAAAGTGTGGAAATAGTATTTTTTTCTGCTTTGAATGTAGAGGGTAGGATGAATTCTCCTTTTTTCTACTCATAAAATCTCCTCTCTCTAATTCTTTCTCTCTTTAATTGAAGGACAGGATAAAGAGAAAGCTGGATAACTGAAGTTGTTGGAGTCGTCATCATCTTCCTCATGCAGTTCAGGTCTGCTCACAAGGTTTGCTGTTTGGGTTGGAGCATGCACCAGCTGCTCCTGTTTTGAAAGGCGGGCCTATGGCTCCCCATTGGTTGGCATGCAGGAAAATTGGTTTCTTGTCACCAGCCAAGCCTGTGTCTTCAATTACCCTGAGCACTGGGGTGAAGGTCCAAGGAGCTCAGGTTCGATCAACAAAGGATATTGGAGAAGGTGCCTGTCATCTCTGGGCCTGTCTGTGAGATGGAAGCCTTAGCCTGCTTATAGGAAACTGCCTCTGGGAAGGACAAGTCTCCTGTTGGTTGTCAGTCCCCTGGAGGTCATGAAGGGACGCTAGATGGGACACAAACATGCCCCAGCACCAGCTACACTAAAACCTTGTTAATATAGACTGCTTCCTGGTTAAAAGGCCAGAGAATCCACTGCCTGACAGAGAGTGGAACATAAGGTCACAATGACACACTATTCACCCAAGGAAGCTGCCAGGCCACCTCTGTTCACCCCCAAGGACCATTGGCCCTAGAGAAGAAGAAATAAGGAGAAACCCCCAACACACACACACACACACACACACACACACACACACACACACACAAACACCCTGATCCATTTCTCTAGTGAGAACCCATTTAAAAACCTGTTCTCTGCCCATAAGATGAGGGCACAGTGAAATTCACCACTCCTGTATTTAGGAATTTTGAAAATCTGACCCAACCTAGCTCGCTCTCTCCCTGTCATACCTGAGGCACCACCCGCCCATCCCCATCCCTGGAGGAACTCCCCAAAGCAGGTGTGATCCTCTCAGCCTCATCTGACTAGAGCCCTCTACTCAGCTCTCTGAAGTGCCAAGGTCACTTCTCTCACTGTCCCCTAGCTGTGTTTGATTTAACTGCCCATAAAATATACAAAGGCAGAAATAGAAATGCATACAATTGTGTAGGGATAGCATGTCCTGGACACTGGTTCACATTCACTACAACAGTAATGACCACAGTAATGACGACAATGAGATCTCATGGTCTCATTCATCCTAGCTTTTCTAGTCCTGGCATATATACAAACTCAGTAAACTTTTCTTGCTCAAATAAACAAACACATTTCCCCAAGCTGAAGATGTGTGGGCATGGGAAAAGAAGAGAAGATGGAAGGAAGATGGGAAGACTCTCATCCAGGGTCTTAGACTCACCGGGTGGTCTGCATCCAGTTCTGCTCCATAACTGAGAATCTGATTGGCAAATCTGTCCAGCTCTTGAATGGTCCTTGGGAACCAGGGCACTACAACACAGAAAGGGCAGAGTCCTGAGTGTAAATCATGGGACACATGGTTAACGGCCTCCCTGATCCCCAAGTGGTTATGTTGATGGTGACAGCAAGCAAGGTTCTGCATAACTCTTACATGGCTAAAGTTAAACATTTAAGCTGGGTGATGATGGAGCACACCTCTAATCCTAGCACTTGGGAAGCAGAAGCATGTAGGTCTCTAAGAGTTCAGGCCAGCCTGGTTTACAGAACAAGTTCTAGGGCAGCCAAGACTGCACACAGAGACCCCCGTCTCAAATAACTAAATAATAAAATTTAAAAAATATTAAATTCCATTTTCCTGTGAAACTGATTTTAAAACATGTCCCCAAGAGACCAGCAGAGCAGGCCTTGGCCTGGGCTGTTCTTCTTGGGACCCCCTGTCTCCGAAAAGAGGGAATGAGAAGGTCTTAGCCTGGTCCTCTACTGAAGCCTGTTAAAGGACTCTTTCCCTGCCCACAGAACAAAGGACAGAGCCGAGTTCTGCACTCTGCAATGTTAGACCCTTGGAACTCTGACGGAAACCCACACCCCAGCTCTCAGTCTTGTGCTTGAAGGTTCCCTGACCACCACTTACAGTTGCTGTCACCGATAATTTCTTCAGTGGCATAATATCATGTATAGCCCCAAACATAAATTGGGCAAAAATTAAATAAAGACGAGCCCTTAGACACCAACTTCCTACCATGTGACTCTCTCCTGAGTGCCTTGGACACCCCTACAAAACCTTTTGACCTCAAAGCCAGTGACAGTCAGGTAGCTTGCAGCTCAGTTTCTAAAGTAACATCATGAGGGAAAAGATAGTTTTTGTGTTTGTAATAGTGGTGTCTGTCCTAAAGAGGGGCCAGGGGGAAGAGTAAATGGCACCGTCCAAATCCTTGTGGCTTTTAAGAAAGAGACACACTGGGTTCAAGTGTCTGAACAAGACTAGAACAATGTGAACTGAGCGCCCCTAGGGCAGGGACTGTGAGTGTTGTGTGGCTGGGGAGAGGAGGGAGGGAATCTACAGGAACACATAGGGCTTACAGCCGCTACTCTGACTAGTTTCTGTTCCTTAAGGTCCTCCTCAAATAAGGAAGGCATTACAGCCTCTATTATACAGATGAAAGCCGAGTATTTAAGTCTGTATTAAAGCATTAAACCAAAATAATTGGTTTAAGATCACACTGGGACTAAGACAAGGCCAGAAGATGAGAGGAGATAGACACGGTGGGGTCCGTGCGGTGAGCCAAGGCAGCAGCTCTTACGCCTGAAGGGCCCAGTGCTGACTTGGCAAGCAGCGCCAGCCTGGTTTCAGATGATCAGGGTCTCTGTGCTCAGTCCCTTCTCTGTGGGGATAGCGAATGTTTTCCAAGACCTTACCGTTGGATACCGGGGTTAGCATTTGGGGTGGGGTGAGGTTTCCTTGAGCAAGAAATGAAGGAGTACTGCCCCTTAAGGTTCTGCCGCCTACAAGCGCAAGTGGGATGAGAAAGAACACTCCTGCCATCTAGTGGTAAATCTGAGGAAGTGCCCTCTGGGGAACTAACCAAGCGCCTAAAGACAAAAAATTGTCAAGGATCCCCAAAACTTTGGAGACAAGGACTTACACCAACTTGCACTCATAAAATGAAGTTAGAGCCTGGTCTCTGTGGATCCGAGCTGCAGGAGCTCTCCACTCTCAACGTCAAGAATGCAGACCAGCCCCAGGTGCGGCTCTAAATATTCTTTGCACAGTGAGCTCTTTGGTATCTCTGTATAACCAGGGCACCACAGAGCTAAAAGGTTATGTGACTGAAAAGTGCTCTGGGTTTTGAAGAGCAATGAACAGGTTTTCATGTATTTCCAGCCTTGGCTGAGGAACTTATCCCCAAATCGTCCCTTTGTTTCTAGGATAATGCAATATGACACAATTTTAGAGTTCTGTTGGTTCAAATTTAACACAGACAATGTACACACGCACAGGCACACAGACACATACATGCATGCACATACATGCACACAAACAAAGCATATGCACACATACACACAGACATGCACTGCTAGTGAATGATGGAGCCAGGATTCACTTCCAGCTGCCTCCATGCTAGTGCCTGGATCTTGACCTCTCAACCCATCTATCATGTAAGGGCAGTGATGTGGCCACCTGATTGAAAGCACTGGCTCTGAAGCCTGACTGGCTCTTTAGTTTTTCACACTGGGGTTCCCATGGCCTTAAAGCACAGGTCACTTGTCCACACCTCCCTGATGGTGACAACAGAAGCAGTCTTAGCTTACTGATACCACTTACATGGCAGGTACCTTATATAAACTGCCTCTTCCTATCCTCACCATGGGATCATGAGCTAGGTCACATTTTCCTGTGTTACAGATGGTGGCACTGAGGAGCAGGGAGAAAAGTCTAAAAAGGTAACTCCTTGTGCCAGGCTATTCAGACTTTGGAGCCTCTTCTCAGCAACACATTCTTCCTGCCCACCACATTTAGAGGGCATGAGGTCCCTGTGTGCACAGACCTGTACTAGAGAAAGTGGGAATGTGAAATTTGCAGGCTTATCTCTTCAAGGGAAGGGATGTATATACCTGTTTTGCACACAGAAGGCTAGGAGTGGATGCTGTTCATAGCCTGGTGGCCTTGCTGTCTGTAGGGCCAGGCTACACCCAAATCCCCCAGACGATTATGTTTATCCCAGACCCTTCCTTCCTAGCTTGAGCATAGTTTTTCAGTCAATAGAAACCATCCCTAGGGACAATGCTACATGCACTTTGTTGCTTAGTCACCTCTAGGATATCCGTGTGGCCAAGACTACGCCTGGTCCCTCCCCCCTCTCCCCGCCCTGGGTCTTTAAATTGTCTTAAGCTATTTTGCACTCATAGGATTGACATAATTGTTACCAGGAAACCTTTTTCCAGAATTGTACTGGGATTAAATGCCTAAAAAATAAACCGACCGGCATCAGACTCTAGACGTTAGAACCAAAACCAGCTAATTAAGCCCCGGTTGAATCAGATTGATTTCCTTCTTGTCTCACTCAGACCATGTCTCTGCAGGCTGTAGCATTTACAGAGACACCCACTGATGACAACTGCTTTCCAGCCCTGTCCCCAGTGTTTCCCTGGCATAATAAATCTCTGTGGTCAGCCCTGGCACTGGTTCTGTTTCCTAGCCAGCTTCTGCAGTGCCAAGGAAAGATCAGGCCTCTGGGAGACCTTGCCTGTCTCTTCAAGTGTTGCCATCAAAGGGCTTCCCTGAAAGACCCTGGTCTGGGCAATGAGACCTGTCCTTCTCCCCTCATGGAGCACCAGTAATAGCCCCATGTCCTCAATTCTGGTCACCACTCATTGCTTATTGTTCATTTATCTCTTTTCTGAGAGTCACTCACAGGTCAGGTAGGACTGTGTCAGCAGAAACACAAGGCAAACTTTCTTGTCACACTGCCTTCCAACCTGTGGACACTCAGACCCTCACACCCCAGCATGCATCGAACACCACTGCACTCCAGGTCCTGGGTGTGAGAGGTGACAACATTGATGGCCATCCTGGAGTGCTTATACTCCATGGGGCTGCTCAAACAAGCAATAAAAGTAAATAAATAAATGTCAGTGCTGGGAGCTCCTAAAGAAGCAAGTGGATCAGGAATATGGAAGCCGTGGGTATGCTGTTTCATTTATTTCTTTTAAATGCTCTCCAACCTTCTTGAGTTATAACTAATAAAACATGTGCATGTTTGTAATTAATAATAATGATTTGACATATATATGCAATGTGAAATGGTTGTCACAGTCAAGAAAATGAACTCATCCATTGCTTCATATAGTTACCACTGTGCATGTATGTACATGTGTGTACATGTATGCATGTGTGTGTTGAGGACACAAAATGTCTCTTATCGATTTCAAGTATACACCATATTTTGTTATATTTATTATATATTGCACGTTAGATCTCTGGAGCTTATTTATCTTACAACTGAAACTTGGTACCATTTAGCCAATATCTCCTTACCCCCACCCCTACCCATCCCCCAAGCACCTGGCAAACACCATTCTCTGACTCTCTAGATTTGACTTTCCAGGCTCCCTGAATGAGTAAGGTGCTGCAGCTTCTATTTACCTTCAGTGAGCTTATTTTCCTTAGTGGAAAGACCCCATTCATACTGCAGCAGATAGAAAGGTTACCTATGATAGCTGAATCATACATACATACATACATACATACATACATACATACATACACACGTACCATATATATTTTTCCGTATCTATTCACATATCTATGAACATTCCATTCTTGGCTACAGCCAACTGTGCCACATGGAACAAGAAAGTGATGATGTGTTTTCTGGATACTGATTTCTTACACTTTGAATGTACCCATAGGTGGTATATTCTGGTCATATATATGCTGGTTCTATTTTAATATGAGGTGCAACTACATACTGGATTTCACACTACTGAACTGATTTACTGTACATTCAGGGTACAGAAGGATTCTCTTTGTCCTGTGCCTCACCAACACTGGATGTCTATTATCCATTTTGTTAGCCATAAGATTTTATTTAAATGGCGTCTATTCCTCCAGTTTCTGAAGATCCTAGTGACTCAGTCCTATTCTGGCATAACTCAGTGGGATCTGGGACAGTCAAAGTCTATGCCTGCTTCATTGGTGTCCCTGTCTCTCTCTTCTCAGGACAGTGAGCCCAGAAAGGCAAAGAGCCCTGCAAGGGAGCCAGACTGCCTGGGTGTGTGCCCGTGTCTCTGCCCTTACCATCTGTGGGCCCAGAAAAGTAACTAAACATCTTGTGCCTCTGTGTTCTTTCTGTAAAATGATAATTTGAGAACTGCTACAGAGTATCCCTTCCTAAGAACAATAAGCACTTAAACAGGTCAACATAAATGTGTTTCTGAAAAGTTATGGCACATAATGAATAGTATTATTATTCAGTTGTAAAAATAACACATGTTGTTACATATCACTTACCAAATACATTCTGAGAAGTGCAGTTTCACCCTATGTGATCCAGAGAGTATTCATGAAAGTTCAGATGTCTGCAATATTACTAAGCACTATCATCTTATGGGACTCATTGTGTGGGGTCCACTGTAGTCTGTAATGTCTTTATATGGGGCCTGACTAAGTATGTTTTCACACATGTATGCATACAGAGAGGGGGGAGGAGGAGGTGAGGGAGAGGGAAAGGGAGGAGAGGGAGAGGTGAGGGAGAGGAGAAAGAGATGAAGTGAGACAGATGAAGAGAGAGATGGAGAGAGAAAGAAAGGTTAATTCTGTGTTGTTTTTCTCATCTCACAAAAAGCATAGTGAAATTCTGGAAAAACTAGTAAGCATGACACTTCCTTTGTTAAGGAACTATACACACGCCTGTATTTTGTCTTCTGGATCCAGAAAGCAGATTCAAGTAATCTTTCTTTGCTGTTAAATGAACTGGATTCTACAACCAACATGACACATCTTTACTCCTGGTCAACACACACACACAGAGAGGGGGGGGGTCTCAATCCATGATTACTACGATGACAAATCTAATAATTCTGGCAGTAATGGAAGATTGGGGAAACGCCAGAGGTTAGAGAGAAGAACTGTTTCTCCATCCATTTCTGCTGTTAAAATCCTTCCTAATACTGGGCCTCAGTTTCCCCCTTAATATATGCATGTTGCATTTACTTTTTGTTTTAGTTCTTACTGAGTCTTGTGTTCTGAGATGTGTGGAATGTCGTGAGAGGCTGGCCAGAGGACGTATGAAAAGATGCTTCCACTACATTCAGCAAAGCAGCTGCATTTATCTCTTGGGAGTACAGTAGCTACTCTCAGACCCCAAGGTACCATCCATAGCATCTCTCCTCCACCAGAGATGCCAGATTCAGAGCTGTGCTAGCTGGCTATCTCCCAAATCAACACTAGAGGGCAGCAAAGCCAGCCAGTCCCAGCTCTGATGAATTCTTCCCTAGAAGCAAAAACAAACTAGTTGGACTCAGGTGGCTTAGTGTAGACGTCTTAGTAGCAAAGAAGTAAGTTAGCTAATTAACTAATTAATCGTAAATAAATAAATAAATAAATAAATAAATAAATAAATAAATAAATAAATCAGAGAACTTGAAAGAATTACAAAGACTCTAAGATATAAAGAGCGAAACAGCCTGGTAAGCTCCAGGCCTTTGAGCTCAGGGCCTGGTCTCGAGACTGTAGAAACCTCTGGTTACTTTTGAGACGCCCCATTATCATAGAGAAATGGCTGAAACACAGAGCTTGGAGAGAACAGTGGAGAGGCATGGGTACTCCTGAGACAGGTTTGGCTTGGAAGATGATTTCTCTGCTAGTTCCCAACCATTGGACTTCATGCAAACGGCTTAATCTCTCCATGGATCCCTAGTTTCTCATTTGCAAAATGACCATAAAAATCATATATCCCTCAGAGAGTTGGTGAGAATCCAAATGAACTTGATAGAGGCAGAGA